TCCGGTCAATACATATCCCGTAGAGAACGCTATGGCGAGGTAATCTGGCTAGGCTTCTTCCTTTGGACATTGGGCGTAGGGTTGACATGCATGTTCAATCTCTCCACGCCAATTTGGGCTATGGTTGTCATACTTGTCGTCCAGGGATTAGGGATTGGTGCCGTTTTTCAGCCCACATTGGTTGCAATACAAGCCCACTGTACTAAAGCCCAGCGTGCAGTCGTCATCTCGAACCGCAACTTCATTCGCAGTCTCGGCGGTGCTGTGGGTCTTGCAATCTCCGCTGCTGCATTGCAAAACTCTTTGCATAGTGCAATGCCAGCAGAATTCCGCTCATTATCGCTCTCTTCATACGACACAGCCGACTTCAACTCCCTGAGCCCACGGCAAATACTGCAGATTCTGCAGGCGTACGCAACAGCGAGTCGGACGGTCTTCATCGTGAATGTACCATTCATGGGATTATGTTTACTTGGGTGCTTCTTCATTGAAGATAGAGGTCTGCAGAGGCCAGATGAAGTTGGAGAAGATGTGCAATTAAAAGAGAGACATGATGGTGGAGGTGGAGAGGTTGAAGTGAGCGGCGACAGAAGAGACCATGGGAATAGGATCAAAGAAGACGTTGTTGTGTTGTCACGGTGACAAATCACCTTGAACACCTTTCAGCGTTAAATTCGAGCGCGAGCGACGTTATGGTCTTACATAAAACTTCGTTCGTCACATACCCCTCCAGCTACTTGCCCTCTCCCACGCGAACGCCGCTTCATAAACACCCACTTCATCCCACCATTTTCCAATGACCTGCATGCTAACCGGTAAAACGACTCCCTTTTCCACTCCAGGGCCTTCCGTGACTGGCAACATACCAATCGGCATCGCCAACACTGGATGCCCACTCTGATTGAACGGCGCCGTGTTGGAAGTCAAGCCGATCTGCTTTCCAATCTGTTCGAGTGGTGTTGCATCAAAGCTCGCATGACTCGTTGCTACATACGGTAGTGTAGGTGTCAACAATATATCGTACTGTGCCAGAGCCGCGTCGTAAGCATCACGAAGCTGTCTTGATAGATTCGTCGCTTTCGCGAGGAGGTTGGGAAATTTTTGTGTAGCGTACAGACCGTTGAGGTAGATGTTCTTCGTAGATGCATATGCTTCGTTCCAGTTGTCCTGGCCCATGGGATGCAGCAATGAGTTCAGCTCGAGCATCTGGTGTCCGCGACGCCCGAACGAGCCTGTGGTTTTCCCGAGAAATCCACCGATTTTCGATATGCCATTCCATATCGCTGCTCCTTTTGAGTGCAGCGGTATCGAGATCTCGGTGACTGTGGCACCAAGGTCTTCGTACTTGGTGACTGCGGTGCGAAAGAGTTGGACCACTCGTGGATCCAAGGCTGGTGTAGAGAGCGACTCAGTAATTATAGCGAATTGCTTGCCTTCCAAGGGTCTGTGCATTGGAGTATTCCTGATGGAACTGTAAACAGGTATCTTGGATGGGTGAGGTGCAGCGAAAGAACGATCGTCAATATTGTCCGTTCCGGCAATAGCTTCGAGAAGTACAGCGTTTTCCAATACTGTCCGTGTCATTGGACCAATGTGATCGTTAGTAGGCTCGTTACTTCCACATCCGGTGTATGGCACAAGGCCAAAGGTAGGCTTTAGGCCAACAATACCACAGTTGGCGGCTGGCACACGGATACTACCACCCTGATCTGCGCCAATTGACCCATCGACCTCGCCCAATGCCACAAGAACAGCTGAGCCGCTCGAGCTTCCTCCAGCGCTATAGCCTTTTGCAAATGGATTTTCCACCACTCCAGTACTCGAAGAGTGGCTTGTTGCAGAATGGCACAAGTTCTCACAGACTGCTTTTCCGAGTATTTCACCGCCAGCTGCTAGGATTCGTGTAGTGACAGCTGCATCAACATTCGGAACATAGCCTTTGACGAAGTTCGTACCCAGTAGCATTGGTACGCCCTTGACGGCAATGTTGTCCTTCAAAGCGAACGTTTTGCCGTAAAGTTTACCGTCGCTCTTAGCTTCCTTGTCAACGATTCTGCACTTCCACGCCCATGCACCATGAGAATTCTCAGATGCTTGCAGGAAATGAACATCTTCTCTGGCAAAGCGTTCCTCATCGACTGGGGGGACATAGTCTATACATCAATGTCAGCTTCCGTCATGACTCGCGACGTGAACCACTATGTCCTACCGTCCATAGCCATTAGTCGTTCACTTGCATCGTGAAATGCGGCAAGTAAGCGTCGATAGTCCTGTTTCTCTTTCTCATCGATGCTGACCCCAAGCTGAGAGCATAGCGCCTGGAGAGTTTCTGTCGTGACAGGGTTGTCATGGCTGGTATCTAGCGAGAAAACCGACATCTCTGGTGAAACCGCAACGCTTTCAAGTAATTAGATCGCGATCGTTTGCCGATGCTACATGTTCGTCATACACTGAATTGCCAGGGGCACTCAGTTATTCATACTGGCAGGCCTGGTGCAGACCCACAGCGGCACTTGTTGATCTGCCATGACTTTAACACCTTGTGACAAATGTTCATTCGTAGCCTACCAGCCACTGATACGTACTTGCCGATATGTTCAGCCGTCTGAATGCTTGCAAGATTGTGTAGTGGAAGCCTCGAAGGAAAGATAACAGTAAAGCGGGGCAGGCGGAACGCTTATTCCCGAGGTCGATCGTCGGGAGAGTCACTTCCGATCAGCAAACAACGAACAGCGCGCCTTGTACCTGATAACTTTTCTGTGTTGTGATTGGTAAGAAACTGCTGATAAGAAATTGACAGGTGAAAAGGAACGGACTTGACGTGCAGTCAAAAGATTGTTGAGTCGTTCCTGGCTGACTCAACTGTGGATAGCCTTGCGACTTGTACGTATTGACACCGCTCTAAAATCCTACGCAGGTAGCATGCGTTGAATCTACGTTTACTCTTCCTCTTGTATTGTGTTCGTGACCGTGATATCGAATATCTGTCTGTCATGGTTCACGTCGAAGAGTCTCTTCAACTCCCCAGAGACTTTGAAGGTGCGCTACCACACAATCTGCAGTTCTCCTCATACTGATCACTATTATAGGTTTTGGCGAAGATGGTCATGACGCACAATGGCCAAACGGCGCCCGCATAGCAGTTTCCTTTGTACTCAACTATGAAGAAGGTGGCGAGAGAAACCCCATGGATGGCGATGGCATTAGCGAACCCTACCTGTGGGAGAAAGGCCCTTCGGGCGGTGGCAGGGAACAGCGCCATTTGAACGGCGAGGTAAGTTCTGGCTGTACGAACTGCATTTGAGACATACACTGACTTCGTACGTCACCTCTGCAGCAAGATTACGAATATGGTAGCAGGTGCGGCGCTTGGCGGATACTACGCCTTATGAAGGAGTTCGGCTGGAACATGACCCTGTGGGCCATTGCAGTGGCCATGGAGAGAAATCCTACGTTTGCAAAAGCTTGCGTAAGAGACGGCCATGAAATTGGGGCTCATGGGTATAGATGGCTAGACATATGGGACTATTCACTTGAAGACGATAAGGCGTATATCAAGAAGACATGCAAAGCCTTGGAAGCGGCAACTGGTACGTCCTACCCGATGCCAAACATCTTGTTCAATACTGACGCGCATACAGGCGAATTTCCGGTAGGAGCATACTTCGGCAGAGGCACGCCAAATACAGCCAGCCTGCTCCCAATCATGTGGAAAGAAATGGGTCACAAAATGCTCTACACATCGGAAGTTTATAATGAAGACTCGCCATATTGGATCGATCTTCCCTGGGAGAAGCAACTGCCTGAATCGGAGAAAGAGGGCCTGTTGATGATGCCGTACAACTACGATTGTAAGCCGCATCTCTACATGACAACATGGCCGATTTAATCTAGTAACATGATTTAGGCAACGACGGAAAGTTTCACATGCTCCCTGGTTTCGTAAGCTCAGCAGGTGCAGTGTACGAGCAGTATCTCAAGGATACGTTTGACTGCTTATACAGAGAAGGCGGTAAGATGATGACCATCCCTTTGCATTCTAGAATAGCTGGTAAGCCAGGAAGGTCGGAGAGTCTGAGAAACTTCATGAACTATATTTCAAGGAAGGAACATGTGTGGGTTGCGACACGCAGGGACATTGCGAAACACTATCGCGAGACTTTTCCTTATAAGTCTGGGTCGAAGACTGGTTGTTCATAGATCTCTTCGTACCTATGGATCTGGATCGAAATGATTATTTGGCCACGCGGATCATGGGCTAGAAGGTATAACAGCCCTCCAAACGTACCCAGATCATGCATTTGGGTGCGCCGATTTCTTACTACACGTGCCACCTGGGCAACCTGGCAAATTAGTCGTGGGGACGCCGCATGGTCTTAAAGGACACATGCAGTCGCTAGAATCGAAATCCCAGATGCAGAGAACCTGTCGCATTCGCTGGATATGCCCGTGCCCGTGAAAACCTGTTGAGTCTTTACTCAGGTACACTATCACCTTTTTGGACAGGTCAACGCACTAGCCTCATTCTTGATCTTTTTGCCCGTCGGCTTCTTTCCTCCCGACGCGTTATCGTCTTATCATCGAAGATCTGCCGTTTTCCCAGCATTGCGAAACCTTGCATAGATAGATGGCTGATAGGAATATTTGTCTGCCGCAATGACGAGATGCGCAATTTGTAGAGGCGATCAAGATGTTTATAGCCTGGCAATCACCTCCCGCCGAACAACCGAGGCTCGAATTGGTATTTGCTCAGGCGTGAGTATTCCTGCGCGGTCATGTCTCGCCTTCTGCAACAAGGCAAGGATGTTTTGAGTTCTCCAAAAACCCTCAAAGTCATAGCGCAAGATACCAGCGATCAAGGCGAAGTACGTTATAACAAAGACCTCCTTCCCAGTCCTCCTGGTAAGCCTTGAAATGCATCTTTCAGCATCTCCAAAAGTTAACACAATGCAGAAGATCGGAGATGGCGCTGGCAACATTACTTCGCATACTATCTGACCATGACATTCAGCCCATCCTCGTACAACCTCGGCGCATCTCTTGTCTCAATCGGTTTACTCTGGTGGCACGGCATGATTGCTGCTATCATCGGCTCCGCCATTCTCACCGTTCTGGTTGTGCTCAATAGTCGCGGCGCTGTCAAGTACTTTCTTGGCTTCCCTGTGTATGTCCGCGCAGCTGCTGGCGTCAGGGGAGCGAGTTTGTACATCGTCGTACGAGCTGTGGTTGCAATCATTTATTTTGCGACGCAGACCTACTATGGAGGCCGTATCACGTCGGTGTTCATGCGGGGTATATTTGGAAATGGTTACAATGATATACCGAACCGCCTCCCAGAGAGTGCGGGGATCACGAGTAGAGATTTGCTGAGCTTCTTCTTGTTTTGGATGGTAGGTACTGTCCACCTTTCTCTCGTTCAAGTCCAAGGCCGACTGAGTATGCTAAAATTAATAGGTTAGTGATATCCATGTACGAACTGTATGTGAGACAAATACTGACTTCGTAAACTCATCTTTAGGCGCAATTACCAGTCATGTTCATTCATCCCACGGTACTTCGACACCTCTTTGTTGTCAAAGCTGTCTATACAACGATTGCACTCTTCGGGGTGCTCGCTTGGGTAATCAGTGCCAATGGGGGCAAAATTGGAAGTTTTACGTACACGACCAAGCAGACTCAGCTCTCGGGCTCAGCTCTGATCTGGCCCATGATACAAGCCATCAATTCCGTTATGGGCGCTCTGGCGCCAGTGCTTATCAATCAGCCTGATATAGCGCGATACGGACATTCCTACGGCGATGTGACATGGAGCCAGGGCTTCGGTATTCTTACCAGTAAAGTACTGGTCATGTTCCTGAGTACCGCAACGACTGCAGCCGCTACACAAGTCCTCGGCCAAAGCTATTGGAACGTATGGGATCTCTACGACGCCATCTTGGATCAATATTGGACTGCTGGAGCTAGAGCAGGGATAGTATTTGCGTCTTTCGGTATGATGCTCGCTGTACTTGTCACCAATGCAGGAAGCAACTCGCTTCCCGTTGGTGCCGATCTTACAGGAATCTTCCCTCGATGGTTGACCATTGTGCGGGGCCAGGTACTCTGCGCGATTCTGGCACCCTTACTTGTTCCATGGAAGATTATCGCCTCGGCGACTGCGTTCTTGACGTTCCTCGGAAGTTACACTGTATTTCTGATGCCGATCTGCGCGTGCATGATTGTCGACTACTGGCTCGTTCGAAAGGGTAACTTGCATGTTCCCTCATTGTACACGACTGCATCCGAAAGCCCGTACTCGTACTGCAAAGGCTGGAATATGCGCATGCTGGCTGCGTGGACAGCTGGGGTTGCCTTCACGGTCCATGGCGTCGCGGGGTCTTTGGATGCTGATTCTGTCGCCGAGGCTAGCAAGAATATGTACAAGCTTGGCTTTCTACTATCTCTGTTCATGGGCGGCTTGGTTTATTACAGCTTGTGCCTCATCTGGCCGGTGAAAATGGTGCCTCGAGGGGCAGGGGGAGAGCTGGGGTTTGAAGCGTTGGCAGCGAACGAAGGTTTCTTCGACGACGAGAATGTAGGAACTATCACGGGCGTACGGGAAGGCGAAGAAGTGCATGAGACGCAGCACGGCGCTGCGGATAGCAAAGGGTTTGTCTGTTAATTCCATGACATAGCTGTGAGTAAGCAAGTGTAACGTGACGTGGCGGGGCGTCGTGCATGCAGCTGGAGGTGTGGCTGGTCGACAAGCTTGGACCACGCGCAACGTCACTGCCACTGCCGGGAGAGCGTGGGAGCTTCACCATGTCCAAGGCAAACATCTCAACGTCGACGCTTGGTACTGCCTGACTCTGCTCGTTGTACCAACAGGCGCTACCATTGTTCCGCCCAGTGAGCGCGACAACTACACCACCACCACCATCACCACCACCACCACCGCCGCCGACATGTGGGACGACGAGGACAACAATCCGTATGGATCCTTTGCCCGCCATGACTCCAACACGTCCGATATTCCCGGGCTAGCGTCGCCCGCTGCCCGTAAGGCTTCTACCTACTGTCTGAAGCAACCGCCAGCATCACTAGCTGACATGACCAAGTGCCGTACCGCCCCGCGACGCCGCCCTCGGAGGCGTCGTCGCCCGCACAAGAATCGCCCGAGTATGTCTCTCAGCGCGACATGAGCGACGTCGACTACAACGAGCAGGACCAAGACCACGCAGACCCAAAGGCGCCTAAGAAGGGCGGGTACGATGCGCGCGTGGAACAATGGCTGTACGAGCACCCCGAGCAACTCGTCTTGATCACGAGCGCGGGCAAGGACGGTGTGAACTACATCCAGTACACCATCAACTGCGGTGTATGTTAGCCAGGCTGCTGGGGAGCCGCGCAGCTGACACATGGACAGGGCCTCGAAGTCAAGCGCCGATACTCTGAATTTGCATCCCTGCGCGCCGAACTGGTCAGACTTCACCCCACGCTCATCGTACCTCCCATCCCCGAGAAGCATACCATGGCCGACTACGCCGCCAAGCCGACAAAGGCGAAGGAGGATGCCGGCATAATAGAGCTGCGGAAGCGCATGCTGGCTGTCTTCCTTAACAGGTGTAGGAAGATGCAGGATATACTACAAGATGGCGTCTTCTGGCGGTTCCTCGATCCCTACACAAGTTGGGTAGGCTTCGTTCTCTTGTAAATACCAACCCCTTCAACTGACTTGCTCCTGTAGGCAGACGTACTCAACAGCCCGCCTGTTTCCAATATCCCCAAACAGATCCTCAAAGCACCTCCACTCGATGCCGCGAACCCTTCCCAAGCCCACAGCTACCTTCCAGTCCCCTCGTCTTCCGCCAAATTGAAGTCGGGCGGTACCATATCTAGCTCGGGTACTCCTGTCTCACCAGCCAACAACGCAGCCCTACCTTCAGCAGCCGCGCATACGACACCGGGTCCTGCCATTTTCGGTCGTTTCCCTCCTGAGACGCGCAATATGTCGGAAGAGGAGTTGGATCCATACTTTGTTAGCTTCGAGAACTCGTCCAAAGACCTAGAACACCTGCTGCAAGGACCAATGGAGAAGGTCAACAGACGACTGCTCATGCACCTGGGCAATTGGGGAGAGGACATGGCAGATCTTGGCGCTCGATTCAATGCCTTTTCGCTATCTGAACAGACGCAGTCTCTCGCTGCAGCCATTGAAAAGACGGGACAAGCTGTCGACTCTACGTACATTGCGACGACCGAACTCTCTTCGTCTCTCAGCGCAGGCTTCTCGGAGCCTATGCGTGAGAGCGCGCAATTTGCCGGCATCGTACGTTCTACCTTGAGATATCGAGTGCTCAAGCGGATACAGGAGGACATGACAAAGGACGAACTTGAGAAGAAGCGCAATCTACTCGAATCCCTCGAACGCAGTGAAGCAGAGTCGAAACGATTAGAACAACATCTGAGTGGCGTCGGCCATCAACCTGCCCGAAGTCGCGCTGCATCCAACAGCTCACACCGAAGCATCGGCGAGGCGGAGCAACCACGTAGATCGGACGAGGATAGGGCGTCGATTGATTCCGACTTCCCACCTACACATGGCGACACACCATCCAGCGCACAGGGCGCACCTGATAATCAGTCACCGCCTAGTAGCCCGCACAAGAAGACTGCAAGTGGGAATTTCGTCACCAACAAGCTGTTTGGGTCCATTACACATGCTTTCAGGGGTATGGCAGACGTAGATCCTGAAAAGACTCGAAGAGATCAGATCGGCAAGACACGGGATAGTATGGTACAGGTAGGCTTAATATGTCATTTGTGAAGACACTTGGAGATACTGACCATTACGCAGCTCGAACAAGCGCTGACTGTGGCCGAGAAAGACACCAAAGACGCAAGTGCGGGTGTGATGAAGGACCTGCGACGATTCCAGAGCGAAAAGGAGGACGATTTACGGCGTTACATGGTATGTCTCGGTCTTTACCTAGTGCTCTTGAAAGCCGCTAAGAACAACTGCAGATGGAGTTCGCTCAATGCCATATCGATTGGGCGAAACGAAACAAGGCGGCTTGGGAAGAAGCTAAAGCCGAAGTTGAGAATATTGCGCCACAGCCCTCAGAAGAATACCCCAGGAGATCTGAGGACTTTGAAGCCCGAGAGCAGTGATGGCGCGTGCCATGTCTGTCTGTGTACACCTGGCGATGCATCCTTTGAGCGATTGCGCACCTGTATTGAATATGGCGAGTAGTAATTCAAAGTATAATAACAGTCGTTTGCTTTACCATGTACAACTACTCAGAACTACAACGTAGCTTCGTCGAACTTCAATCACCAGCTTATTGTGGAAATGTTCCCTTAGATGCGCTCATTGAGCGTGCTGATAGGAGAGCATTCTGAGATCACTCTACACATATCACAAGGACGGTGATGTCTGAGCATGAGAATGCCAGCTGCCAGGGTGGTTTTATACGACAAGATAGCTCCATGGACGATACTGTGAAATAGAGCTCAACGCAATTCTACATAAGAGAGCTCCAGCAGCCTTGATCTCTTCCCCCTTGTTACGCTAACCATTTACACCCTGCTTCTAGTCAATGTGTTCTGTTACTGTTACATCGCCAAAAACCTACTTTTCCACGGATCCCCCCAATCAGGCCTTCTTGCTCTTCTACACAGCTTCAACAATTGCGAACTCGGCAACAAGATTCAGGGACACAGGTCGCTTCGAACGTTGGATAGTATGCTGCTCACGGATTTGAGGGTTTGGAAAAGGACAGGGGTGAGGACTTGGAAGGAAACGCGACAGCGATCATGAGTACGGAAGGTATTAGGTGCAAGGGGTGGAGGAAGGCCAGGGATAAACATGGTTGCTCTGCGAGGATTGGATCAAACAGGACGGGTGATGCGCAGGCAGCGAGGACGACGGTCTGACTGGTGGCTAGTGACTGTGCAAGATATAGAGTAACGTCATCTCCTCATGGCCGCAAGTCATGACACAGGTTTGATAGTCTCAAAGAGGTCATCTGTATCCGTTCGTAGACACATAGGATTGGCAGTGGCCGGGGTAAACCATGTGGAAATCGGGCGAGTGGCAAAATAGTTGGGGGATCGTAAAGTCCATGATATGCATTGATGGTTAGCAGACAATTGATCTCAAACGCCATCCGTCTTGTCGTTCCCATCCGCAAGAGTTTTACAGGCGCTCGTAGATATACATGCCGATGCCCGCAGAAGCAACTCCGTATCCACCGTGAGGAAGAACCAGGCGAACCAGTAGTTGTAGAGAAACCGCCACTCGACTCCAGCCATGACCTTCGTAGTCATCATCAGTGTGCACCCGCTTATTTCTTGTCCTTCTTCGCACCGCCCTTGGACTTGGCTGTGCCCCGGAACTCCTTCATCCTGTTCTTGCGCTGCTTGCCTGTTGTCCAGTCAGTATGTGTCATGTATCAACATGCAGATCCATCGCCATAATTGCGACACCATGCATAGACGCAGGGAAGACGTACGCTGCTGCCTGCTGGCCTTCTCGACCTTGGTGGCCATGCCGTAGCGTACTAGCCTGTAGCGGGGCTCGAACTTCTTCATGGCTTCGGCGCTGTCATAGATAAGAGCGAAGCCGGTGCTCTTGCCGCCACCAAAGTGTGTCTTGAAACCGAATACGGAGACATCGTCCTTCTTGGCCTTGTACAGCTCACCGAGCTTGCCACGGAGTTCGTCCTTGGAAACGTTTGCGCGGTTGGGGTGAAGGACATCGCTGTAGTATTCCCGTCAGACTCAATCCCCCGCAACTGTGTACTCGGCGTTTCCTGCACTTACACGACCATCTGACGACGTCCGAGGAGAGGGTTGCGGATGAACTTGCGCGTGCGCAGAGTAACTTGAGAGTCGGCCATGTTGGGAGGATTCGACCTGCAACACGACAATTAGCCGTGAGTCACAAGTACAATAGGGCGGGCTTGGGTCTGCAATGGACGTACTGGACAGAGATCGATCTTGCTGTTGTCGATTACCTGTGGTTAGCTGGCGGCAAGATGGAGATGTCGAATTTGCTGCGTCGTGTCGGCGGTCGGCAGTGCGCCTCGCTTAGTCTGCCAAGGCGCCCCGCTACAAAGTTACGTAAGCAGATGCGTGCTTGGATGTTCTTTCCCCTCGTCAAAATCAGAACATACAGCTAGGCTGCACGACTAGGGAGGCTGAGACACATTGAAATATTCTAGCTTACGTGCCGAACAAAAACTATTGTCGCTTCCATGGACGCTCCGTCCAACCTACCGCAGCTACTTATCTTGCAACGCCAGTATTTCCAGCTGGTCGAACCACACCAATTAAGATGGCCAGATGATGCGATACTAAAAGCGCCAAACGTACAAGTGTGGCTCTTCCACAATCTGTTCGATGCAGCCAATATCACATCACTACCCCCGGGCCGCTATCGGTTGAGGATTCTCAAACAACTTGTCGCAAAACTCGAGAGGTCGATCACCGACCCGGAGGAGGATGTATGGTCTCCTATCTCCTCACCATGGCTTTGCCTTCGCTGTAGCCAGCCATCTATCAAGTCATAATAATCATCTTGCAATCGCAAAGATTCCATGCAGCACTTGCTGACCTTTCTCTTCGTCCCAATTATAGGAAATCTCAGATGACATTATGGAAGCGATGACTATTCTGCTT